CAACCCTCGGTGTTGCTCCCGCACCTCGCTCAGCCAGTGAGCGGGAACCGGTCTGTATGTGGGATCCGAACCCTCGGCGGGAGTGCCACCGCGCTTCCCAAGCGGCGCACTGTAGCAGTGCGCCCCCGGGCCGGCCCCTAAAAGAATTTTTTAAAAAATATGATGTTTATGCTGCACTGTGGAAATTTTTAGTCACTCTTGGCTAATGGAGTAGCATTGAAAAAATAAAATGTCCTTTAAAATCTAGTATATATTTGGTAAGAATAAGAAAAATTTGTTTTAGGGCCTGCTGTGTGTATGTGTGTGTGTGTGTGTGTTATTGTTTGTTTGTTTGTTTTAAGTGAAGATTATGAATTCTTCAGTATATCCATAAATTGAATCTTTTCTCTCTCTCTCTGTTTTTTTTTTTTCCATTTCCCATTACTGACTGTTAATTGCTTCCCAGGATGCCTTTTTCACATACATAAAGGCTGTAAATTGAAGTGAGGTTCAGAATCACTTTTTTGTTTTTCATATCTTTCCAGTTTTTTCCTATTGCCGTTTTTTGAAAATGAGGAGGGATAGTAGGGTAGAAGAATACACTTACTTATGAGAGAAGTGAAATGATGTGAAATTGTACTCAGATTCCCAAGTTAGATGTTTTGGTAGCCAAGAGTCATTTAATTTACAGATACTTTTTATTTTCTACTGTATACTGAAACTATAGAGAGACTCTAAATATTGAAAGTGAACTGGTAGATAATATCTAATTTTGTTGTAAATTGGGTGAAAAATGTTTAAGTGTTGTGGAACTGGGGAAGAGGGTGTGGGGAGTTAACCAGCACCCCTGGGAACTCCAGGACATAGGGTGGTCCTTCCAGTTGTCTGTCAGAATGAGCAGGATGTGGGAGAGGGGACAGGGAAGGGAGAGGGATGGTGGGTGTGTGGTGCAGCACTGAGGCTGGTTACTTGAGAGCTGAGAGTTGCTGTTGCATGTAGATAAAATGGATGGGTACGATGAGACTAGTTTAAGAAGGGCCTTGAAAGCTAGGCAGGTTTAGATTTGACAGTCAGATGTTGAAGTTTTGCGAAGCTATTTGCTGATAGTGGAGATATTTGAGGAAGCCCCTGGAGTCAGGGTGGCCAGCTCTTTCTCAGGCCTGGGCCTGTCCCTGGTCATCTATGCACAGGTCTCTGTGGCTCTGTGTACCTCTTTTCCTCCTTAATGCTGTCACCATCCCTTCTGTTTTCTTCCGCTGGGATATCCCCAGCCCATATTTTCTCTTTCAGTATTTTCTAGCCCTGAAACAGATGCTCAGGTTCTTTTCCTGTGCAACTTGAGACAACTCATGATTTCCCCAGACTACTCTCATGGGAATCTGATTTGTCCCTAGCACTTCACAGATTGCCCATCAGGGCCTCAAGAACTTCTATGGGACTGAATCAGTGGCCTGTTCTCAAATGACTTGAATCTGAGTAGCACTGGGCATGGCTGGCCACCTCTTTCTTGAAACATAGTCTTCTCTGGGCTGGAGGATAACACACTGGCCTCCTTTCCTTCCTGCCTCCCTGGCTGCTCTTTCTCTTTTGCCCTCTTCCCTTCTGCCTGACCTCAACCCTGACACTGCCCTGGGCTCATTCCTGGGACCCCCTCTTTTCTTGAGCTGCATCTCTCCCCAGATTGTGTCATCCAGTTCATTGCCAAAAATTCTGTCTAAGCACTGACCACTCCTAAAGATTGATTAGCAACTTTGTCCTTGTCCATGAGCAGCAGGTTAATATATTCAGTACTTTACAGGGTCTCCATTTGGATGTTGTATGGACATCACAAAGTTAACATGTCTAAAGTCTAAGTTCTGCCTCTTCCCCAAACCTGCTCCAATTTCATTCTTCCCCTTCATAGTAAATGGCACCACTTTTCACCCAGCTCTTTAAGCTACAGTCTAGGCATTGGCCTTCTTTCTTTTTTTTTCACTTAGCTTCCGTGTCCCAGCTGTCAACAGTTCTTGTTAGCTGTATCTCCAAAGCGTATCCCAGATCTGACTACTTAGCACATTGTCTCCCCAGCCTAAGCCAGCGCTATATCTCCCCAGCACTGCTGCAGTCACCCTCAGCACTTCACGCTCCTGCACTTGTACTGTGCATGGCCGCCAGAGAGGCCCTTCGAAAACCATGTCATGTCGTGGCTCAGCTGCACCAAAGAGACAGTGAGAGAAGCACTTCAGCACTGAGAAAAGGCATCTCCACTGACTTACTGAGAAGCAGAAGGAAGTTTTCCATGGGCTGCCTTCCAGATCATTTCAGTCTTATACTCAGATGTGAGAAACCAATAGCCTGTGAGATGTGGCTTCATCACATAATTAAGATATAAATAGGGCCGGACCGGTGGTGCACTGCTACAGTGTGCCGCTTGGGAGCGCGGTGGCCCTCCCGCCGAGGGTTCGGATCTCACATACAGACCGGTTCCCGCTCACTGGCTGAGCGGGGTGCGGGCGCAACACCGAGGGTTGCAATCCCGTTGCCGGTCCCGGTCCGGTACAGGCGTGACACTGAGGGTTGTGATCCGTTGCCGGACATGAAAAAAGACAAAAAGGAAAAAAAAAAAAGATATAAATAAAGTGTGATCTATGCACTGAGTGGGGGAAGTATAGTCGTGCATCGTTAGGCACTTTTGTCGTGGTGTGAACATCATAGAGTGTACTTATAAAAATCGAGATGGTACAGCCTATTACAAACCCAGGTTATATGGGATAGCCTGTTGCTCCTACACGAGTAGTATGTTGCACTACAACATTACAATGGCTACAATGCCTATGACATCACTAGGGACAGGAATTTTTTAGTTCATTTTAATCTCATGGGTCCACCATTGTATATATGGTCTGTTGTTGACTGAAACATCATTGTGTGGCACATAACTGTATTAATTTTGATGAGGGACATCAGGCAGGGCTTCATAGAGAAGATAACATTTGTGCTAGGCCTTGAGGGATGAGTAGATTTTCGGTGTAGCTCAGTGTACAGGGAGTAGAAAGATCTAGGGTGGCAGAGCGCTTGGCCCCAACAGAAGCAGCAAGTGTTCTAGGAGATGCCTTTTTAAGAGGGTATCAGGCAGTTTGGGAGCAGGAGCCTGACACATAGATGAGAGGATAGCAGTAGATAATGAGACTGGAAAGGTAGGGTAGGTCTGTTTTGAAGGACTTTAGATGCTGGGTTGAGTTTAGAGTTTAGGCAGTGGGAACCTGTCTTGAGAGCACTGTATCAAAACTGATCTTTCAGTGATCAGTTCTAACTCTCACTAGAATGCTTTTTCCTTTCTTTTGCCCACCTGCTGGTAGTACGGAAATATTCCCAATTGTCAGTGCGATATCTCTTAGACTTCTCTGGATACTTTAAGTCTGGTTTCTAGGGGAAGGAAGCCACAGGTGGCCTTTCCCAGGTGGGAAGTGTGAACTACGTAGTATGAGAAGATGCCTCCTGCCCTTTTTCATTGGGTAGACCCCAGTACCACCGGGCTAAGGTGGTAGGTAGTCAGTGCTCTTGATTATGAGGAACAAGTAAGGTGTTTAGATTATTAAAGGAGCTAACCCTCATGTGTCCTTTCCTCACAAGGGAGAGGGGGAATGTAAATGTGCTATTTTAAGTGATCTTTTTAATTTCCATTACAGGATTAATCACAATGAACGGTTAGAGTTCCTGGGTGACGCTGTTGTTGAATTTCTTACCAGGTAAATAGGCTTTTTTTTTTTTTTTAAATAATTCCCCAATAATTAATTTTGTAGGTAACATGCTTATTTTATTACTTCTTTGTAATTAACCAAATAAGGCATTGAAATACCACATATTTTGCATCTTCTGTAGAACTTAAAGCCACGTGTCTGTGGCTCTTTCCCTGACAGCTTGTACTCACTGATGCTGTAATGAGCAAGATTACCAGATGAAAGGCTGGTGTCTCTGTCCTGTCAAGTTTATGTTGAAGTTGCTTACAGCCACAAGAGATCAGCTTGTCTTGGTCTAGATGCTTCAGAGGCTACATGCAATTTGTAAAGAAAAGGATGATATTTTAAAATGTCACTTCATCTTCTAGGATTTGTCTTTGATCCTTTTCTTACTCTTTCTCATCTCAAGGGAAGTAAAGCTTACAAGTAATTTTAATGACTAGGGGTGTGTGTGTGTGTGTGTGTGTGTTATTTTTGAGAGCCTTAATTTGGAGATAGGGGTAGGAAAATGCGTTTTGTTTTTCCATGCACAATTTCTCTTTTAGAAGGAAACAACACATGCTTCTCTTGAAACTCTCTTGAGCTATTTTTATTCTCTTTAGGTCATTTCTTTTCACAAGAAGAATATAATGAGAAGGGGCTACTCCCTAAGCCTCTAAGACTAAATACACTTATTTTCATTGATCAACAGTGGGTCATATAAAATGGTGTGCGATGTGGGAGACCAGCTGCTATCGTGGGCCACAGTGATTTTCCACGTGGCCTTCTACCCAGTTCCCGTACTTTTCTGACGAGCTCCTTTAGGTTCATCTTTGGGGCAGAGCCAGCCCAGAGTGCCACCCCCATTTCTGTTCCTGTCCCCATCTGTGCTTGTGAAGAATATGCCACCACCACACCCCTGTTCAGGGCCTCCCAAGAGTCTCTTTAGGGGCCACCCACAACCCAACCCAAGGAAAAACATTTGTTTCCAGTCCCAATATTGGAGTATTAGATACGTTTGCTCTTAGCAGTGTGTGACTGATTGTTCAGGTCTTTGTTGTCATCAGATTTCAGAGAAATCTTTTAACAGAAGTAAATGTGAAAATATGACCAAATGGTGCTGTTTGGATATACTGTGCTTACCATTTAATTTTCAAAGACATTTAATCAAATGCTTTAGTTCAATTCAGCTGGTATCTACTGCACAGATAGTGTGCCAGCCCTATTGCTTGACTCAGAGCCACAGACAGAATGTTGTGATGCATATTTATTTATGTGCTTCTTTTTTTGCAGTGTCCATTTGTACTATTTGTTTCCTAGTCTGGAAGAAGGAGGATTAGCAACCTATCGGACGGCCATTGTTCAGAATCAGCACCTTGCCATGCTAGCAAAGGTACAGCAACCATCCGAAGTATTTGTAGTTACAGCTGACATTCTTTTCTTCAGTCCGTGCATAATTTTGCATTTGAATAAGGAACTCTTTAGGGTATATTAAGGGTATAATATTTTATAGACCACGAAGTATTTTTTGTTTGGGTTTTAAGGATTCAGCCTTATTAGTTCTGTTACCTTTGTGAGTTTCACCAGCAGCTAATGAACTCCACAGTGAGGTAACTTGAAAACAGATGAGGAAAAATTTGACAGATGTGCATGAACAGAGTTAACTTTTGGGGGAAGGGAACACGGGAACAAAGCAAAAGAAATGAAATATTCTGTACTTCCCTTTGTGTAATATTTCTCTATTACATTTGTTTTTAATTTATGTTAACAGGCAGAATTATAGCTTTGAACTGAATACTCCAGATCATTTACATCCACAAGGGGTACTTGGTAGATCTCTGAGAATCTCCAAAATCACAGAACCCATTAGTTAAGATTTAGGGTTTAGGCTATCCAGCTAGCCTCATTGACTTAGCTGAGTGACTAACAGAACCCTTTCTTGATTTGGATCCATGCTAGGCATTTTACTTACATGATCTGATTTGATGTGTCATCTCCGGTGGTGTCTTCTTGTAGTAAATCGTAACAGATAAGAACATGGGCACTTGCAGTGACACACAGGATTCCAGTCCATACTCTTCCCCTATCAACAAGATGGCCATGGACATAGCTTTGTTCTCTTCTCTAAACTTCTGCTTTCTCGAATCTGTAAAATGGAAATGACAGCACCTGCCATACTGCCTGGTTGTGAGAATTAAATGATATAATCAATTTTAATGATGCAGTTTATAAAGTGATTGGCACAATACTTGTTAATAGTAATCATACAAAGATGTTAATAATTTTGTGGGTGCTATTTTTATTGCTGCTACCATTGTTCTTATGGTAAATCTTTACATTTTTATAGACTTTTCGGTTTATTCAATAGTAGGTAGAACTGTGGCTTTTAAATCCCCAAACACCGAGGATCTATTAAAAAAGCATTTGTGAGTTTTCCTTGAATTTCTATTCTGTTCTTCATTTTAATATAAAAGTTGGAATTTGACAGAAAAGACTAGATAAAACCCATTCTAGTTTTATGACTGGTTTCTTAATTTGATCTTGCCACAGCATTAATTATATTCAAAATGTGGTTAATTTTAGCCCTTGGTTTTTGTGTTAACAAAAATGCATTGTTTTGGTTTACATAATACCATCATCATAGTTACAGTGGTAGATTTTGAACCAGCTTTGGTGGCATTTGAGAAAGTAAATAATGATGACTTGATGAAAAACTGTGAGCAACACGATAAACTAACTTGGTTTTAGCAGCCTCACAGTGAATGAAATTTCACAACTCTGTAAAACTGCTTTAGTGTTTAATTGATTTAATTGTCAGAATGCTTCCTGATTATTCACGTAAATGCCATTGGAAGTACACATTAATAAGTAGATTATTACTCCCTTCCCCCATTGTTTTCTTTTCAGTTTAGGATATAATGGAACTGCATAATTTTTCATCATACAGTTATAAGGAGAATATTTACCAAGTGTGGGAAATTGCCATAGCATGAAAACAGAAGCTATTACATAACACTTTGGGTGCTATACAAAGCCATGAGTAATGGCAGGGGTGGCAAGTTTCTCCTTTCAAGGATTTCTATATGCTCTTTCTCCACCGAGCTCAAGCCTTGACATTCACATAGCACTCAGCACCATTTGGCTCCAGCAGAAGGCAGTGCTGATCCCACCTTTCTTCTGTCTGGACCCATGGTGCTTAACCATTCTATAGTGAGGGGCATTGATGGAGAATTGCTAACCCCTTTGAGAATCTGATGAAAGCTCTAGGCCAGCTGTCCAGATAAATGAACATTTTAATACATGCACAGTAGAACACTGTTGTCTCCTTTTTCAAAGTCCCACTAATGTTTACATGGAAAAAGATATAGAATAGGAACTAGGAAAAGTTGGAAAATTCACAGCACTTCAGAATAGTTTTTTATGAGATAAAGTAATAGCTTGCAGTCTACTCTCAAGGAAGGCTCCAGAGATAGCAAACAATTGGATTTTTCCAGTGAAATTGTGAAACAGGTGAAATTTACATATTTTAGTATAAACTCTTGTACTTTTGGATCAGTTTTTAAAAAGTGGTGTTTTCTGCTGTTGCATTTGTGGTAGTCAAAACTCTCATTTGAGTGTGTTTTATACTCATGGATATTTAGCAAAACAAAATACTGATGGTATGTGGAATATACTATAAAGCATATGTCACGGCCTGGTTTTCCAAAGCCTTGCAGTTTCAAATATTGACCTTGCGGAGGACTGGAAATTTTCCTCAGGCTATAAAGTCTCTGGTGTAAGATAAAGATTTGTGGCACAGCAAGGTTGCTGGCTCAAGGAAAGACAGGTTACTGCTTGATATGTATAGATACTGGAAAATTATGGAGGGAGAAGGAATGTTTGCTAAGATCAAGCCTTTGTTGGTGGATCACTTAATTGTCTAATGGGATGTCATCTGACTTGTTTCACTGAAAGTTACCAGCCTATATTGTTAAACTATAGCTCCATCTGTGTTCTCTTCCTATAACTTCCCGGTCTGGAAAATAAACGCAGGAAGAGAACCCCAATTTGGGGTTAATTTCCCAAGGAAGGGATCCCTCTTGCTGGAGGGTCCCAGGGAAGTTAACTGCTTCAGGGTCTCTCACTGCTCAGAAGAGATGGGCTTTGAGTAATCCTTTGTGTCTCCGTCACCCAGGGGAAGAGGGGTGACAAATCCGTGGGGGGCAAAGCAACACAAAGCAATAATGGTATATATGTCTTGTTTTTTACTTCTGTTTTTCCAATATAAATGGATGTGGATATTTAACATACATCCCAAGATGCAAAATCTAAGCATCTTTTATCTGGGGTCTGATGAGATTCATATTGTCCTAGTTTGTTCATTGATTTGTGACTTGTTCCATATTATGTGGCATGTTATTGCTTAGTAAGTATTTATCGAATTGAATTACATGGTAATAGAAACAGATTTATTACATATTTATGCAATGTTTGTATCTTTTTCCTTTTATGGATAGAATTATGATTTCCATTTATTCAATTTCAGGAGTTTTATAAAAAAATATTCATATTGAGTCTTGTTCTAAGAGGACTTGAATTGATTTTTATGTTGTAATACAACAGGATAAGAAATAAGTAACTACAGAAATCAAACTAAAGGGGAAATACGGGTAAGACAGTAAAATGAAGCCAGAGGTAGAGTTAGTGTACACTGATGTATTCATAGGTCTTATGTCTAGAACTGGGCCACAAATCTGGCTCTAAACTTTTCTGAGGCCAAATCAAAACAGAAAACACAATTCACTACAGATGATTTCCCAGAACCCTTAAGATAAATCCAGTTCATTCCTCAGAAAGTCTCACTGAACCTGCAGAGATGAGGGTGGAAACCTTACAAAGGGGACTCAGTACAAAGATATAGAGCCTCCAAATTCTCACCGTATTAAAAAGGAAAAAGATTTAGAGGTATAAGGCATTTTGAAGGCTTCTGACTATCCTCCTTTACTCTACCACATAAAAATTTGCTTTGAATAGTGTAGACATTACCAGTACCACCTAACTGGAATCAAAAAAGTAAAACTGACTCTCAGAACTTTGGGTTAGGTTTGTGTCTCCCTAGACATACTGAATGAACCCAGGGCCCATGGTCTTGTAGCAGAGTCTTACGTCTGGACTTGGAATTGGAGAGCTCAAAACTGATCAATTCTATAACCTACCTAACTACTGGAGTTTGTAGAAGCCTGAGTTAGAACTGAACCATATGTATAGGGCTCCTAATGAATGGTAGACTAAGCTCTCTTAATATACCAATGTAAGGCCAGTGGATTTATAATTATCATCTTTTCTTCCCCAGGAGATGCTGAGTTATTGAAGTTAGGATTTTGGCAAACCTTTTTTTATTGTTTGTTATTCTGAATTTTGTAGAAACTTGAGCTGGATCGATTTATGCTGTATGCTCATGGGCCTGACCTTTGTAGAGAATCTGATCTTCGACATGCAATGGCTAATTGTTTTGAAGCGTTAATAGGTAATTTTTCTTTTTATAATCTTTCTTGCATGTCTAAACTGGATAGCACATAAAATTCAGCATGGGAACTTGGGACAGAATTACTTGTTCTCAAAGCACTGAGGTTCCTAGTATAACACCTTCAACTTTGTACTGTAGTTATTATAGTTCCTCCAGAGCAGTGATCTTGCTTTCTCTTATTTGCATTCTTGGTGCCTGAATTGGTGTCTGATGTAATAAAGATGTTTAGTTAAGTATTTAATGAATTGAATTGAAGTGCATTCATATGGAGATGAATTACTTTCCAGATTGATTAAGGATCACACACATAAATAAGCAGAAACTAGGTTGCTAGAGAGGTCCCAGTGCTGTTTCTGATTATATTTTAAACTATTCATGAGATTTACTGCTTTAAACATCTTGAAAACACTATGTTTTTAAAATCTCAGGGCTTGAGTCTATATAACTGTTTATTCACTTGAAGCTACACTGATGTAGACACTTCACTTCTCAGGCTCTTTACTTCCTCGGCTTCTTTTTGACTATATCCAGAATACAGTTAGCTGTTGGTACAGGGAAGTTATGAAGAGTTAGTTAGCTGGTGATCACAAGTATGCTCTTCAGTGAAATGTTACAGTAGATTGACAGTATCTTCATTTTTTTAGGTAAACGATTAACTACATTTTATTTTTCAAAGGCCCTTGTACTTATTTTTGCCCTCTTCCTTTGAAAATGAAAAGCTTCCATTGTAGTTTCATGCTGATGTAAGTAGCGAGAGAATGTTTAATAATTATCTACAGTCTTTTCACAGCTATGTCTGTTTTTCACAAATATGTCTCTTATCAGAGAGTTTGTCACATGGAATTACTGTGCTCTGTACACATAATAAAGTATTTTTGACAGTTTCACCATTGGCTCCGGAACCAGGCAGACATGATTCAATTCCCTGTTCCATCAGTTATCAGATCTGTGTCTTTGGCAAGTTATCTAGTCTCTCTGATTCTCAGTTTCCCCATCTGTGAGATGGAGATTGTATAATTTACCTCACAGAGTTGCTGTAGGGATTGTAGTATCCAATCCTGGCAGCATCTAATCCAGAGAAAAGTTCCACTTCCCTAAGCCCTCACCCAGATCACCTAATGTGAGCCTAAACCCTGTAAGTCTTTTCTAACACTTCCTTCTAAGGCACCCCGTGAAGGTGAAGATAAGAATGTGGAAATGCTTTGCTCAGTGCTGAGGGTAAAAGTGGCCCCCAAACCACAGCAAAGTACTACTGCTATCATTACTACAACTGTTGATAAATAACAAGTGTGTTTAGTTATCAAAATCTCTGGTAACTAAGTCTTTTAACATTTTACATGGAAAAGTGGTCTTTCTGAAGACATGTAAAAATTTGATTTCAACAAAGTGACTACCCTACTCCAGGGTTATTTGATATCTAATTAAAATGTTACTATATCACTTACTGGTTATGACGAATGTTAAATGTGTACATAGTACTAAGTTATTTCAAATTAAAGGTTAAAGTTATCCTGGTTGTTATTTGTAGAAGCCTTCATTGATCTAGACTCGGGTTTTGTCTATTGCTCTTTTTTCTTAAATGCCTGTATATATTTGGTGTGAAACATAAACTGTAAATACAGAAAATAAAACCCTGCATAATCTTTAGTAAAGTCAAGTATTTGTATATTGTTACCTTAGTGAGGTTTATACTCATACCTTTCATGATAGTTCATATTTGGCCTCTTTTACTTACAATATTAGATTTACATTTTAGTAAATTGAATGCTGTGTTTTAGTCTAATTTATAATACAAAGTGTAGCTAAAAGAGGAAAAATGTTACCTTTAAGACAGTTGCTTCTGTTCTTGTCGATTTTTTTTGTGAGAGGTTTTTGGCTTGCCTTTTTGCTTTTTATAGAGATATGTAATTTTCTCTGAATATTAATGCAGCCTTCCTTTTGTCATTCTCTTCCATTTATTAGGAGCTGTTTACTTGGAGGGAAGCCTGGAGGAAGCCAAACAGTTATTTGGACGCTTACTCTTTAATGATCCGGTATTTATCTTGAATCATTTTTTCTCAGTTATATATCATTATGGAACATTTTATTTCAGTTGGTCTTTCTATTTTGAAAAGACTGTAGGAGAAACAAAATACCCAAATGTACCATAGATGGTACATTTTAAGTACATCAGAAATAGCTTATTCAACTCTTGCAGATGGGAAAGTTCCATGGGCATTTACAGTAGGAGTTTTTCTTTCACCTGAGCCCATCTTTCTTTATGGTCCCCTGTATATTAAATATGAATACAAATGTAATGGGACTTTGCTTCATTTTGAAGTATCTTGAAGTTAATTATGATTTTATATTTTATAATCATTGGGTACCTACCCCATGCAGGCTTAATTGAAGCTATAGCCTTTTGGCTTTTCTGTTATGGTTTGTTTTTATGTAAATTATGTAGACTAGATAAATATATATATGTTTTTTAGAAAGTCAGTTCCTAGTGAGTTTCCAGTAGGGCTATGGAAGTACTTTTTTTAAAAGCAAATTATAGCTTAAGAAAAAATGATATATTCTAAAATAGTTTCTGTAGTTACTAAAGTATTGAGCTATTAATATTGCTAGAGATACCTTTTTAATCTTTTATGTAATAGAGCATACTGAATGCTTTTTTGTACCAAAACAAGTCAATTTAAACATTTAAAGGGAGAGGCAACTCTGTATTCCAAATTGAAATGTCATTATAATTGAATGAAATAGCCCTCATGGAGCAATAAAGAATGCAGGAAGCCAGTGTTTTAAGTCTTTGTGAAACCTTCAGCTTAAGTGCTGTCAGATGTTATTACTGTATTACTTTGGGTAGTTTAAAAAAAAAGAATCAATAGTTTTGAAAAATGTGCCTTGGACAATGTTCATCTCTGAGAATTTGATTTTTTTGTTTGTTTTTCTAGAGATATATGATGACTTTTGTATGTGTGAATTTCCTTCTGATGGGAAAATTATCTACAGATATCCCATGTCCCCCATTTTGTCTTACACATACAAACAAGTGTGCATCTTGATTTGTATCTGTAGCAGATGGAATGTATTTTAAGACTTTTTCTCAAATCTTAAAATATCTTTGCTCTGGTGTTTATCTTTATTGGCAATTTCAGCAACCTCTTTGCTGTTTCCTGCCTCCAGTGGTGCCTCTGTGCGCCACCCCCCTCCCCTCACCCCTTAACCTCCTTTTCCCTACCCCCACCAAGACCCTCCCCCTTCTTCTGTCTTACCTGCATCCCCCATCCACTGTGTTCCTGTTTTCCTGAATTACATGCAGTTTTGCACGTCGTGTTCTTAATTGCATCAGTTTGTTTAGATTCTTTTCTCTCTTAAAAGTGCTTCTGTCTCACTTGTCTACTTAACAAGCTTATCTTATATTTCCTGTACGTAGTGCAATGCTGGCATATGCAGCATTTAATAAATATTTGTTAAAAGAATGAAATAAATGACTGAATCTAAAAGCAGAGTTTGAACATTATCTTACAAATGGGACAGCTGAAATTCAGAATTTGTTTTAGTGTATCTTTTATGAAACTGAACAGGGCTCAGTAGTCTGTGGGCTTTCTGCTTCTGCATTTCCAAGTACACAGACTTGGACATGCTAACTCATTTGACATCTCCGTGTTGGTTTCCATGTATTGTAGTATGTAAGAGACGTTAGTGAACTGTTACACTTTTTTAAAAGTAATTTATCACGAAAACCTAATCAGCCAAAGACAGCCAGGGACAGACCTGTAGGACAAAGTCAGGTTGACTGACAGCATGTGTAGGGGTGGCGCTTACCGTGGGAGGAGAGAGGCGTCTTTTGTGAGGCCTGGGCTGGTGCTGAATGATTTCGAGAAGGGTTCTTGGTTGGTTGCCTTGTCTGAGGCCAGATGGGGAAAAGTAAGGGCTTAATTTGGGATTGGATGGTGCCATGAGGCGAGAGCAGTATTGTGGTTCAGGAGGTAAGACACGGCAAAGCAGGTCAGAGGGCACCATGGGCAGGAAAGCAGGAGACACTCCAAGAGGGATCCTCATGGCATCTTACAGCTGCTGCAAGACCTTGAGGGAGACATTGTTTCCTGTTAACTTTGCTGCTGCTGGCTTTATCTGTGTCTCTCTTACCCCTGTTAACTACAGGGCTGTTTTTTCCTTTTAACCAGCTGATTTTTACTCTTAGCCCCAGACAGTTTTTGCTGGTTCTGTATTTCAGTCTTTGTGTAACTCTTTGTGGATTACCCAGAACTTTCTGATCCATTGTTTCATTTCGATCATCCAATGGTCCTCTTAGAAAAATGGAGAGGTATTATGATGACATTTTTCCTCTGGGTGCCCCCACTTCTCTTTTTCTCTTTACTCATTGGTCTCAGTATCTCCAACCCAGGCCTTTCTCTGGAGCTCCAGAAATTGGAAAAGCCAGCTTTTCAAATTGCCTCTGGGCAGCTTCACATGGGTGTTCTACAGACACCTCATTTCAACATGTTTAGTATTGAACACATCACTTTTAGACCTAAAACACGTTTCTCCTTTATTTTCTAAACCAGAAACCTTGGGGTTTTTTTGTCCCTAAGCTTTCTTCTCCTGGCATCCATTCAGATGCAAAATCCTATCAATTCTGACCCTAATGTCTCCTGAATTGGTTCACTCTTGGCCATCCTGCTGCTTTTGTTTTTGTCTTTCTCATCTCTCAGCTGAGCTATTTAACTTGCTGTCATTCTCCTCAGCTCCAGTCCATCATTCCTGCTACATTTAGTGTTGTCTTATTACCATTAAAGCACAGTCTTGTTTATGGCCTTTCTTGCTTAAAATCTTTGATTACTGCCTACCAAGATTCATACTACACAACATAGCATTTAACAGCTTTCATGACCCGACTCCCACCTGTCTTTTCAGTCTTCTTTCTTTTTACTTCCCCTTTGTACCATGCACTAGGAATTACCTTTTTGTGCCTGTGTACTGTAGACATATTATTTGTGTGTTTATGGTGCCCTGCTTTTGGGTCTCACCCTTCACTGATTTGCCAAATTCTTCACATTCTTCAGGACACATGTAAAGAGTCACCTCCTCTTTGAAGCTTTATCTGACACCTGCAGGCAGAGTTTTCCTGGCACATATATATATAATATAAATATATATATATAAATATATATATATTTAAATAAATATATATATTGCTATTATGTTGTCACACTTTTCTACCCCACTAGGCCCCCTCTGGACAGGGATAGGTTCTTGTCTTAATAACCTAATACATACTAGGTATTCAATAAAAGTATGTTACATGATCAGATGACCTGATCAATCAGTAAACATTTTCCAGAAGAACAAACTGAAGGTAGAGACCTCGCCTGAGGTCCTTGAGCTAGTCAGTGGTATCACTGGGATTCCAAATCCAGATATTTTGTAGTCTATGTTCTCTGACACCAAGGTGCAGCAGAACCATATCTCAGTGTGCAGGGTAGATTAAAGTAAATGGACACAGTTGTAATGGTCTCGTTGTGAGGTGTTATGCTGTTATAGCAGCATGGGTGGCAGCAGATGTCGAAGGAGAAATCACAGTTCTAAGAAAGGTGAATCAAGAGGTCCCTGAGAATTTTGAGCTTTGGAGATTGGGAAGGGAGAGCTGTTTATCATTGTTGATGTCATCATTATTAATAGTAATATTTTCTGTGTGCCAGCACTGGATTTAATGCTTTGATTATGTTGTTCATTGAGGCATCAGAGAACACTTTGAATAAGGATTGTAATTATCTTTGTCTTATACAGTCATCCCTCTGTATTTGTGGGGAATTGGGTCCAGGACCTCCCACAGATACTAAAATCTGTGGATGCTCAAGTCCCTGTTATAGAATGGTGTAATATTTGTATATAACCTACAGACATCCTCCTGTATACTTAAAATTATCTAGATTTACTTATAATACCTAATGCATTGCCTACACATCACTTCATTTGCTTGGATTCAAAATAGTACTAAGCATATGGCAAATTCAAGTTTTGCTTTTTGCAACTTTGTGGAATTTTTTTTCTGAATAGTTTTGGTCTGTGGTTGGTTGAATCCATGGCTGCAGAACCCACAGATAAGGAGGGCCAACTGTACTTGAGGAAATGAAGACTTTGGAGGGTTAAGTAAATTGCCAACATGGAATCAGGATTAGACCCAGGCAGCCTGACTCCTGAGCCTGTAGTCTTCCCAACAACAGATTTGCTAGTTCAAGGTGAAAGGTGAAAAGTTATCATGTGGTCATGTTGCCAGTGAGGTAAAAGATGCCCATTTAGAGTTATGGACTTGGAGCTTAGATGAGAGGTCAACACTGCAGCAGAAGTGAACGAGCAATCCAAACTGAGATAGTAATTAAAGCGATGAGAGTGGTGGAGCTCTCCAGAGGAGACAGTAAGGAGTAGGTCAAACAAGGGGCTGGAGCTTGGTAAATGTCCACTTAGGGTGTAACAAGGTTAGTGAACTGGTTAAGAGACGTCCTTTAAAATGCTTTAGAAGAACAGTTTGGTATTTAAGCGCTTTTAAAAATTGTTAAAAACAAACAAAAACCCTAAGTGTATTTTTAGATGCAAGTTGTACAAAAGTATTAGGTATTTTATTTCACTTTGTTACCCTGTGTGTGACGAGTGATACCAAATTTTCCCATACTTTGTCCCCCCCATAAAAACTTTAAAAAAATATTTTCTCTCTTTAAAAAATTTTTTTTATTAATTTATTTCAGAAACCTAGAATCAAGGCCAGAAAATAGATTCAGCCAGAGGCTCCCTAGAGTCTAAAACTAAAGAAAAAACTCTAATTTTGAGGAAGCTGTAATTATAACTGCCTCTAGATTTAACTCAATGGATAACGTAATGTACTAGGATTTTCCATAAAATTCATTCATTCCAATAGTTCAAATAAACGTTTATAGTGACCCACAGTAAAAGCATGGTCTCATAAATGGAAGAGCTTATGGGTGCTTTTTTTCTCCATCTTAAAACAGTTCATATGATAATGAATTAGTGCCTGAAATAAAGGATATTTGAGATGAGTTTTGAATACAAAAGGCACAGCTGATGAGCATTTCTGGGGAATGGTAAGCTAAAATATATGACTAAAAGAGCAGCTTCATCCAGTGTATTAGGTTAAGCAAATGTGTAACTTAGCTTTAAAAGGTATCTTTGACTTCTGGGGTTGGGGGTGCCTCTTTTCTTCCCCAGCTTAATAGCCTAATTAGAGTCACTACAGGCAGTTTGAGTGGAGAATACACTTAAAAAAAAAATTAGTTTGCTAGCACTATTGAATTTGCAGTAAGTGGAGTCACCATCTGAAATAGTTCAGTCTTTCAAATAATGATGTTTTATTTGGGACTCTAGCATGTGTTAAAATGGCTCCCTTGAGCATTAATGGCATCACTCCATTTTGCAGGACCTGCGCGAAGTCTGGCTCAATTATCCTCTGCACCCACTCCAGGTAAGTATGACCTTCCTGTCTGCAGTGAGCTTTATGACTCCAGCTATTCATGGTACTTCCCTTTGCTTTTTTCCCTTCCCAGTTTTATCCTTTGATTTCCTTTGGTGGCATTATGACTTTAAACTGGGGTGTCAAACTGGAAAATGTTGGAACAAATAGTAAAATGAACCTGTACATTGCATTTATGTGGCCTGGGCTGGGTGGGGACAACCCAGACGGCTGGGTGGGAGTGAGTCGTCTTCCCTCAGTGAGGCAGAAAGAGCCACTGTGGAGTTAGGGGTACCCCCTGCAAAAGGTGATATTCAAACATAATATGTTGACTCCAGTATACCTACATACCTGCTATTGTAGGGAGAATAATATGGAAGCAGGTCTGGGCATATTTAAAAAGCAGGACAAATACTAAATTAACATTGCTAAATTGTAACCTAATTTGGATCTTAGAATTGAGGGCTTTGCCTCAGATTGCATAAAATTTATTATAATTAAAATTTTAGTACAGTGTAATGGCTTTCTACTCAAGATTTTGGAACTTAAAACATCTATACATGGTGACACCCCTTCTCTCAGTTGGTTTAAAAATTCTTGCTACTATTTTTTGATTCTATTTCTGTTTTACTTTGGGCTTTGTGCATATATGTATACATGCATATATATACTCATATATACATATTTTTGTATATATAAAATAAATGTAATAAGAATAATCACTACTGGTTGAACTCGCATGAGAGGCTTTACAGTAAAAAATGACGTTAATTCAGAGTACTTTGAAAATATTTTATTAATACGAGATTGCCCAAAGTTATTGAAAGTGTTCATTTTAATTACACCTTTCATATTTGCTCTCAGCCAGTTGTTAAAGGCTCATTGTTCTGTGGAGCACAACCTGTCTAGTGGTATAATAACCTCCAATGTAAGCTGAATTCAGTTTTAATGATGCTCATTGCCAAAATAGGTTGGTCCCTAGAAGACACACAGTAGTCAGGTTACTCTAATGCAGTGGTTCTCAAAGGGCAGTTCCCAGACCAGCAGCATGTGTGTCACTTGGGAACTTGTCAGAAAGGCAAGTCCTCACTCCACACATACAAAATCAGTAACTCTGGGGATAGGGCCAAGCCATCTGTGTTTAACAAGCCCTGCAAGTGTTTTCATGAATGCTAAAGTTTCAGAACCACTGCTTTGCTAGATATATATTTTCTACCAGCTGTTCTGCAGCTTGAGTCTTCCTTGGAGAGTTAGTATGATACTCAGGATTTTGAACTATCTGTGTTCAATGCTTGGCCTTGTAATTTGGTAGGAGATTGGAAAATATTATTTGAGGCTTCTTTAAATATTAGGTTTGTTTGCCATTCTAAGAAATGAGAAAGAAGCTTCCATGTTTTATTGGCATTTTAGAAATTTCTGCCCATGGGAGAAGGAATTTTACAGAACACTGTTCTAGAATTGATAATTACTCTTGTAAACAAAAACTACACATGACTTTTATTTATTTCTATTTTCACGTAGCTGCAAGAGCCAAATACTGATCGACAACTTATTGAAACTTCTCCGGTTCTACAGAAGCTTACTGAGTTTGAAGAAGCAATTGGAGTGATTTTTACTCATGTTCGACTTCTGGCAAGGGCATTCACATTGAGAACTGTAGGATTTAATCATCTGACCCTGTGAGTTAGAAGCACTCATGTAGTCCCAGTGTGACTGTTTAGGTGGGGCAGTCCCAAACCTTTGCTGTGTGTGCCCTTGAAAAGAATTGGTATTTCAAACATTTTTCCAGTAAAGTCACGTTGTGAGATGGATGGGTAGCCAGACTCTGGTATGGACCAGGAGATATGCTCCAACCAATATTTTTGGTCCCATTGTCAGGCATCTTGTTTCTTCATAAAGTCTAAGAGAGTGTGAAGGAAGTCAAAACTTTTTCCATAGAGGGACAAGTATTAGATATTTTAAGCTTTGCAGGCCACGTGGTCTGTGTGCAGTGATTTGACTCTGCATAGTAGCATAAAGCAGCCGTAGATAAAATGTAAGCGAATGAGCATAGCTGTGTTCCAGTGAATCTTTATTCTTAGAAACAGGCTGTGGGCTAGATTTGGCCCTCCCACCCCTGCTCTAGATGAATGATCTAAAGATGAGCTAGTGAAATAATTAAGAAAATAAGCAAAATTGTATTTCTTTGGGGTTGTTTTTATTCAGTTTTTGGCTCCCCTCCTTCAGATCAAATATTCCCAAGTCTCTTTAAACTATAAAGATTAATGATTCTTTTCATAAATTAAAAAAAATAAAAATCTGGATTCCACATTTGAATAATGGAGTATATATTTCAAAAGATTTAGTGAGGACAATTTTTGGGACTTTTCGCTTTGTTTTGTTACAAGATTCTTGTCTATATTATACTTTATTTTTCAACTGATACTCCTCAGCTTTTGACCAGGCAATATTTACCAGTCTTTATTTTAGCAGTTATTTAATCCTTAGATAGTGCTCAATTTACTCTCCTTTGAAACTCAGTCTGTATTAACTTAGATCTCTTCTCAATTGAGGGGCCTTAGGGAATTGTATTTAGTTTTGTGCTTTAAAACAAGATGAACACATTGCATGCCTTTTAAAAAATTCTGGGTTTTTTTTTTTTTTTTTTTTAATCCATGAATGCTTATTGATCTCTGTATATTAATGTTCCTTTTTTCAGAGGTCACAATCAGAGGATGGAATTCCTAGGTGACTCCATAATGCAACTGGTAGCCACAGAGTACTTATTCATTCATTTCCCAGATCATCATGAAGGACACTTAACTGTGAGTCTGCATTAAAGCACTCCCTCCAATAAGATTTCTGAGTAATAGAGTGAAGATTAGAAGGACCAAATAAATATTTATGTAATTGATGATTTAGTTCCTGGTGACTTTAGCATATCGTATGGCTTTGTTCATTTCATTGTACAAATTATATACAAAGCAGATATTCGATGAGAACTCACCCTGTTTACTCTTTCATTTATGATCACCTGCTCTGTGCAAGACATTGAGCTAGGCCTCATGTTGCGGAGCAAAGATGAGTTGACACCAAGTCTATTTAAAAACTGTTAGAAGAGGTTACAATGTAATTAAATAACTATAAGTAAATACTATACTGTATATTGTGTATGTGTCTATGTATGTACACATAAATACACACTATAAAAAGTATAAGTAACTATAAATGCAAAGTAAAACATGTTAAATATTATAAACAAACTTAAGTAAATTACTGCAGTTTAGGGAAAAATATAATTTCTTCTAGTTGTGGAGTTTGAAGAAGGCTTCATGGATATAATGGTGTTTGAGCCTTATAGATGGGTAGGGTTTGGCCATTGGGAGTCAGTGTGAGGAAATTTCTATGCAAGGGCATTCCACACACTGGGACTATAGAAGCAAGGCATGGCATGCAAAATGAGAAGAAGGTGAGGCCGTAGGACTCCGTTTGGCTAGACCATGGCAGAGTTGTATGTGAGTTATAGAGACAAGATTTGCTTTATGAACAAACTGAAATGGTCCCCATTCCTTTCACGTTTGTATCATTTTATAAAACATTATTGAGCTTTTTTATTTGCCGCATACTGTTTTTACTCTGTGATACCAATAAGTAATATACCCGGAATGGTGAACAAAACATATCTAGAAGCCAGTCATGATGACCTCTCAAGGCACAATGAGTAACCTTTGAGAAGTCTCTGGAAAGGTGGGCACTGAGAAAGCAAGTACTTTATTGGGCAAAGAAAAATACTAGTATATGGGCCGGCCTGGTGGCGCACTGCGATAGTGCGCCGCTTGGGAAGTGTGGCGGCGCTCCCGCTGAGGGTTCGGATCCCACATACAGACCGGTTCCCGCTCACTGGCTGAGCGAGGCGCGGGAGCAACACCGAGGATTGCGATCTCGTTGCCGATCCTGGTCCGGTACGGGGGCGACACTGAGGGTTGCGATCCGTTGCCGGACACGGAAAAAAAAAAAAAAATAATAAAAAAAGAAAAATACTAGTATACTCTAAGATACTTGTTAGTGCAAACTCTTCTTTATTACGTTGAAGTAAATGAGTCTGTCATACTTTGCATCTCTACAATTTTTATGCCTGTTTTGCTTTGAATAGAATTAGATCTTATCTTTGCAACTGTGAACCCTAGAAATAGTTTATGTGAGACATAAATATTGGATTTAGGGAGAATATGGTGATTTGGCTATGTTTAGATGTAATTTTTCAGTGGAATTTCTAAGCCTAGCATTTATTCACTCAATGAATATTTATTGAGCTCCTACTATGTCCCATATACCATTATAAGTACTGAAAAAACAGCAGTACTCTTATTTTAAATTTAATTTTAAATTAAATTTGATTACCTTTTAAAGTTAACTGCTTTTAGATAGAAAAGGAAGTGTTTCCTTCTTGAGTTAATAGTAAATTCTTAAGAAAATATGAGCATTTATGAGAAATGAACTAGTGTCTAGTATCTTACTCTACATTAGACAATAAAGCGCATGTTCAATATCCCCCATTAGGGAATAGACTTCATAGGTGTCAGAGTATCTGGCCAAAAATGGCTGAACCAAACTAAATAGCTTGAAGTGGTAATTCATTTTATGGGCATATAGAGTCTAGTGTTGAAGATGTGTGCTTTAAATACACACATTTCCCCCAGTATTCCCACAAAATTAATTGTTAACTCTAAGATCTCATGTAAATTGTTAACTCTAAGATCTCATGTTAACTCTAAGATCTCATGTTAACTCTAAGATCTCATGTCTGTATGTGGGATGTTATAGAACTCTAAGATCTCATGTTAACTCTAAGATCTCATGTTAACTCTAAGATCTCATGTTAACTCTAAGATCTCATGTTAACTCTAAGATCTCATGTTAACTCTAAGATCTCATGTTAACTCTAAGATCTCATGTTAACTCTAAGATCTCATGTTAACTCTAAGATCTCATGTTAACTCTAAGATCTCATGTTAACTCTAAGATCTCATGTTAACTCTAAGATCTCATGTTAACTCTAAGATCTCATGTTAACTCTAAGATCTCATGTTAACTCTAAGATCTCATGTTAACTCTAAGATCTCATGTTAACTCTAAGATCTCATGTCTGTATGTGGGATGTTATAGATCAATGAATTTACTGCTTCCCACCTGCTTGCTGCATTGGCACCCCCCCCCCCCTCGTAGTATTGAACAGATAATGAAACCAAGACTCAGAAAGATGTGAGTCCTACCCATGGCCTAGATAAAGCTAAAACCAGGACTATGCTAGACTCCAGTTCTGGGTTCTTTCCAAAATCACTTCAATGGCAGAAGTATAGTTCAATCCAAACTGTGTTTATCAGCCTTGCTGTCTTGAAATTAGAGTTTTGGACTAGCTTATTAAAATAGTATTAACAAATGGCAAAATTATGATATGATGGTTTTATTAACTATATTCATAGAAAGCTTTGGTAGAAATCAATAGGACTAACAGATCTTCTGGCAGGACAAAGATGATCTGTCATAAGTTAAATACATATTTTAAAAGATATTAACTCTCATCAACATTAACGTGGTTGCTCCCTCCATCCTTAACACTGTGTCTGTCAGCTTCTGTCATGCCGCACTGTCCTGGGTTTCCTGTTACCTCTCTAGGTACTCTTTCTTAGCCTTCTTCGCATACTCCTCTTATTCTCTATAGTTTAATAAATATTCCAGTGTCTGCAAGGTTGTTCCTAGGCCATGTTTGCTTCTTACTAGAGTCTTTACTAGGCAGGCTTTTCCATGTATATCATCAGTTTCACCCTGTTGGCAGATGACTTCCAAACTGATCTTTTCAGTCTGTTTCTCTTTTCTGAGCTCCACTCCTAGCTGCCTTCTTAGCATGTTCACATAGCCAAGACTGAATTTATAATCTTCCACCTGGATTTTCATCCAGCATTCTCTGAGTAATTGAATAGTAACATCACCCATTCAGAGTTGCACATCACAAACCCAGGAGTCATCTTTGACTCCCTTACCTGTATTCCAGTCCATTCACAAGTCCTAATAGTGTTATTCCTTGAATATCTCTTGAATTTATCTTCTTCTTACCACCTTGTCTCCATCACCCACGTTCTCTCTACCAGCCTCACTCACCTGGACCACTGCTATAATTTCTGCATAGCTATCAAAATGTTGCAGGAATGTGATTGACGAACAGACCCAGTTGGAAGGAGTGACATTTACTAAATTGCAAAGGATAGGAATCTTAAGGTTGTGTTCATACAAAGCTCAAGGCAATGCAGCATGCTCCCGTGAGAAAAGTGGGCTCTCTGGGTCCCCAGATTTCCCCTGGGATGTATGCTACTAATTGAAAACCTTACCTTTGCTGTTCTTGTGGGTGTTTTTGTATGCTTCCTCAGAGAATGACAGTCTTTCAGGCAGAATTCTTCAGGAGGCCCAGGATTCAGGCCTGTATGAAGTCATTTTTGCAGCTTCCTATACTGGTCTTTCTATAGCAACCCATGCCCCCATCCAAACCATATTCCATGCTGCAGCCAGAGGAGTCTTCACAGCAAATCGTCAGTGACTATACTAGCTGTTTGTCCTTAGTCCACTTGGGTATTGGAGTGCCCAGTTCTCAGTTGTCAGACCTCTTCTCTTTATTGACTTCTGCTCCATAAGCGATCTTATTCCATCTGTCTCATGGCTTGGAATGTATCTGTTTGCTACTTCCTAATTTATGTCTTCAGCCTTTACTTCTCCTTTGAACTCCAGACTCATATGTCTATTGAATATAGATATACCCAAATATCTAGATAGGTAGATATACTCGAATCCCTAGTTGGATTTTTACTAGGCATCTCAAACTTAATGTGTCCAAAACAAAACTGATTTCACCCCAAAAGCTGTTTCTCTGTTGGTGTTCTCCATATCAGTAAGGAGCATTCTACCAGTTACTCAGGCTAAAAACCTTGGTGTTATCCTTAACTCTTCTCTTTCTGTCATATTACACCTCCCAGCCATTAGCATATCCCATTGATTTTGCCTTTTAAGTTTATCCGGAATCTGACCACTTCTCACCAGCTCCACTGTTATCTCCCTTGTCTGAGCCAATATTATGTAAATTACAGCCATAGCCACCCAACTGGTCACCCCCACACCTGCCTATTTTTAGTGAAACATCTTAGAAGGGTCATTTTAAATGGGAAGCCAGGTTACAACCCTCCTCTGCACAAAACTTCCCAAACCTTCCCATCTCAAGGGTAAAAGACGATGTTGTTATAGTCACCTACAAGACCTTGTATGATCTGACTGTCTGCTGCTGTCTCTGACTTTGGGGGTAAAAGACGATATTGTTATAGTCACCTACAAGACCTTGTATGATCTGACTGTCTGCTGCTGTCTCTGACTTTGGCTCCTAGACTCTTCACATTGGCCCTTGCCTTGGGGCCTTTGCACGCAGTGTTTCATCTGACTGCAGTATTCTTCTCCTGGTAATCTATGTGGCCAGATCCTTTGCTTCCTTCAGGTCTCTAATTAGGCTTCTTTAACCCACCCTGCTTTAATAGGCAACCCCTGCCCCTTGTCCCTAGCTCTACTTTCTCTTAGCCCACAGTATATATTTTTCTTGTTTACTGAGGGTCTTCTCCCACCAGAGTGGAAGCTCCATGAGGGCACAGGTTTTTGTGTGCTTTCTCCATTCCTGATTCTCTGGGTCCTTGGGGAATGATCATCATATCCCAGCCTAACACTCTTCAGTTGTTATTTGGATGGTGACTAAAAAAGACAGGTGAGCCCCTGGGTGGTCTGCCCTTGCCCG